CGGGCGGCTGCAGGGGCTTGAGACCTGTACCCCGGCGCCAGCGGCGACCCGGAAACAATCGGCCAGGAAATGACGTTTCTCGGAGGCGGGTCCGAAGGGAGGCCGGGCCGCGGCTGCGCGCTGGGCCGGGAAAAGCCGATGCCCACGGGCGAAGGAGGAAGGAGCGGAAGGCAGAAGAGCGAGGATAGAAGAGGCGGAATTTCACTGTAGAGACTGAAAGGCACGACCCGGGCTGGGGCCAGGACCCGGAAGTAAACGGATCCGGAAGTGACGCACGCCGTCCGCCCCTGGATGGCAGCTAGCCGAGTTGTCATGGGAACCGGTGAGGAGCGGGGCGGTGGAGTCCGAGCCGCTAGCCCAGACTGAGCGACCCTGGGCCTCCGCCTCCCGGACTTACCCTCCGTGGAGATGACCCCGGAACTGTGCTCTCGCCTGCGCCTGGGCAGAGGCTGACAGCTGGATCCCTCGCCTCCTTTTTACCGGCGGAGAAGCCCAGGCTTAAAGAAGCAAGAGAAGCCGGGATCGCGGAGACTGAATCCAGCCTAGAGAGCACGGTTGATGCTACAGGCTGTCCTCCCAGCTTGGCCTCTGCCACTTACTAGCTGCCTGACCTTGGGAAAGTTACTTAACCTCCCCGAGCCTCAGTTTTTTCACCTGTAAAATGGAGTTGTAATAGTACCGTCTCCTGGAATTCATGTGAGCATTGAGTTCATATATGGAAACCGCTTATTACAATAGTTGGCAGAAAGAGCTAAATATATTTTCTTTTTAAACCTGGTTAAGTTAAAAGAAATTACCTCTCTCTGCCCTCAATTTCCTTAAATGGAAGTCGGCAGTGGGGAAAACCAAGATAGTGCCTCGTTGCTTTTTGACTTTTCAACAGGCACCTGTGGTAGCGGCGTGGGCTACGTTGGCATCGATATTGGTGGCTTGTTACTTCACTTCATGGGTTTGTCTTTGCTCCCACCCACCACCTTGCCCATAAGCTCCCCGAGGACTCGGTTTCTGTGGTTCACCACTCACTGAATCTCTAGTACATACTCAAGACTGTTGGGCATATTTGCAACTGAACCATTCATTCTATCTCCCTAACTTATACCAGACATTTATTAAAGACTAGAGCCCACTCCATGCCAAGTTCTCTTCCTCCAACATGCTCTTGGCTCCCTGCACTTCTCATGCTCTTCTACCCTCCTGGCCTCTGTGCCTCTATATGCTGTTCCCACCGTGTAAATGTCCTTCCCCTCACCTCAAACCTTCCTAGTTTTTCTGGCTTCCAGCCCCAGCTCAGTCCTCACAGCCTTTCTGGAAGCTTTCCCTGATTTTTCCCGGCAAAGACCAGCCTTCCTCTGGTTCCCCACAACACTGTCATCATATTTCTAAGATATTTTTTATTGATTTCAGAGAGGAAGAAGAGGGAGAGAGATAGAAACATCGATGATGAGAGAGAATCATTGATCAGTTGCCTCCTGCACACCCCCAACTGGGAATGGAGCCCAAAACCCTGGCATGTGCCCTTACTGGGAATCAAACTGTGACTTCCTGGTTCATAGGTCCACTCTCAACCCCTGAGCCACTTGGGCTGGGCTGTCTTTCATCATTTTATCTCAGCTCTTAACCACAGTGGATTACATTTTTAAACCTGACTCCCCCACAAGACCTGGAGCTCCTTATACATCTGTTTTCCCTGAGCTCTGAACAAGCCTGATCATGAGGTGCCCAATAGTTGTTCCTTAATTGTAGGATTCTCTCTCAGCCTTGGTGTCCCCAGCTAAAGCCAGCGGGCTCGTCTCAGGA